CTGCCGTGGTGCCCCATCGTCATCCTGTCGTGGCCCATCGCCATCCTGTCGTGGCCCATCGCCATCCCGTTGTGGCCCATCACCATCCTGTCGTGGCCCATCGCCTCGTAGGTGTCCGGCAGGGCCAGGAGCAGAAGGGCCCGGGGCGTGGGGGGGAGGGGGCCATGGGGACTGGGAGTTTGGGAAGGGCTGTGGGACGGACGGAGGGACAGGGACGGAGAGAGGTGGGATGGGGACACGCGGGATGGAGCTGCGGGATGGAGATTTGGGATGGAGAGATGCGGGATGAGGAGCTGCGGGATGAAGATGCGGGATGAAGATGCGGGATGGGGCTGCGGGATGGAGCTGTGGGATGAGGAGCTGCGGGATGAAGATGTGGGATGGAGCTGTGGGATGGAGAGGTTTGGGCTGGAGCTGTGGGATGGAGCCGTGGGATGGAGCTGCGGGATGGAGGTGCGGGATGGGGACATGCAGGATGGGGATGCGGGATGGAGCGGTGGGATGAGGAGCTGCGGGATGGGGGTGTGGGATGGAGATGTGGGAGGGAGGTGCAGGATTAGGAGATGCGGGATGAGGAGCTGCGGGATGGAGCTGCGGGATGAGGAGATCTGGGATGGAGCTGCGGGATGGAGAGATTTGGGATGGAGATTTGGGATGGAGATGATCTGGGATGGAGAGATCTGGGATGAAGCTGCGGGATGAGGAGCTGCGGGATGGAGCTGTGGGATGGAGCTGCGGGATGGAGAGATCTGGGATGGAGAGATCTGGGATGGAGCTGCGGGATGAGGAGCTGCGGGCTGGAGACACGTGGGACGGACGGAAGGATGGGCAGAGGTGGGTGTGGAGGGATGGACAGAAGGACGGCGACAGCGGGACAGACGGATGGGTGCATGGACAGGGATATGGGAGCGAGAGAGGGCGGACAGCTGGACCTAAGGGCCCGGGTGGATGGACAGACGGACGGAGAGATGAGCGCGTGGACAGACAGACGGAGGCGCAGGCCGACGGGTGCTAGGAAGGCCAAGAGGGATGGATGGACGCACGGCCGGCCGGCCGGATGAACGGCTGGACGGACAGACCGCCGGGTGCAGGAGGGTGCCCGGGGCCCCCCACCTCCGGGCGCGGGGTCGCGGTGCCGCGGGCGGAGGACGA